TTCAGTAGGTCTGGGGTGCACCTGAAAATCCCTGTTAACAATGTTCCAGGTGCCTTTGGTGATCCTGGCATGGATCACCCCACAATTTACTACTCTGAATATACAACAGAGTCTTCACAACTTGCTGAGCTTTTAAAAATATAGTTGCCTGGGCTTCCTTGTGACCATTAAACTGAAATCTCTGGCGATAGGGCCCAGGAAACTTTATGTTAAGTTTCTCACATGATTTTATTATGCATCCAGTATGAAAAACCATTTGTTTAGGAATCATAGACTTAAGCCCCAATCTTCCCAAATCCCATGGAACATTCCTCACCTTCAGCTAGTTAACTTTTACTTATCCTTTAGATACCAATTCCTGTCACTTCCTTTTTATATGTGTCTCTTTGCATAGGAGGCCATCTCAGATTATAACAGTTGATCATTGATATGATGATTTAAACACTACCTATTTTTTTGCAAGGCTCTATGTTCCATATATCTGGGCTTATCACTGAAATCCCAGAGTCTAATGAAGAGCACATTGGAGTTGCTCAATAAATATTTATGAAATGAGCAAACCATAAACTACATAGTTGCTACTTATTTCTTTTGCATATTGTGAGACCAGCGCCAAGAAATATTAGAAAGAGCTTTGTGACTTCAGTCAGTATTTAGGAGACCACTCTATCTCAAGTTACAGTGCCACAAACAAGCAGAAACATAAGACTCAGAGCCCTGAACCAGTGCCCATGTCCTAGAAAGAAAATTCTATTCATGCTGTCAAGAAAGAGCAAGGAAGATCCCCTTTGTAAGCTGGTGGCAAAAAACAATGTCATCCATGAGAAATCAAAAGCTCATATTTGCCCATGTGGAAGTAAGGAGCCCAAATGGATATGATTTGCCTACCTTAGAAGGCCAAGCTACAAGGTTATTGATAGGGACAGAACAGGAGATATGGGGGAAGACAATCTACTGATGATGCACTAACAATATAAGAATTCACAAACCACATGAGAATACAAACTACTAGGCTGAGAGACTTAATGCAAAACAACCAGCAAAACCAAAGGCTGGGAGGACAATTAAATAAGTACGTTTAAAATAAGTTTAAAATGACTAAAGATATAAATGCAAAAATAAAAACCTTAAAAAGGGTACATGATGTAAATAAAGGGATATTAAAGAATCTTCAATGTTGAATGCATCACAAGCACAAGAGTTACCTGCATAAGCCACGAAGGTCTCAAAGAATTCCAGGGGTGCTTCCACACCCTCAAGGGGGCCACGGACAGAGCAGAGAAGGGGACCATCCCAAAGGGAGGCTTGGGAACAAAGAAAGAGGAAACGAAGACCCCTTGCATGGACAGAGGTACCTGGAGGCCAACGAAGGCCTGTTGTCTCCTTAGCAGATGTACAGGATCAGAGGCTGAGGAGACCATGGAGGCCAGGCTAAGCAGTCAGACCAGAAACAGTCTCCACACCCCAGAGAAAGAAGAAAGTCATCCCAGGGGGAAAGGAAAAAAAAGGAGCATAGAAGAATGGAGATCAGCTGAAAATTTACTCAAAGGGGCTGACTCCAACTCAGGAGCAACTAACTATCTTGAATTGACAAGTTTGTTATCTACCATCAAGAGGAATGGAGACTGAGTTCACAGAAATAAAATTATGAGTGATCATGCCTGATTTTGCTTTTTGTAACTCTGAAATCCTTACCCTTTACACAACATAAGTGGGCCTTTTGCTGGTTTGTAGGGAGAGGAATCTTCCTATTCCACAAAGAATTCCACTCTTGCATTTGTCTGTTTGCAAGTAAGATACTGGTACTCATTTTAAACACTGTGTTTCATGATTTAAAGGGCAATCCTCTGCCAAGGATGGAGACACAAATGTCTACAAAAAGATTTTTTCATTCCTTGCCCACATTCCCCCATCTGTTGGTAGTGAAGGATATGTATAAACCCCAGTTCTGTTATAGGAACAGCAGCTCAGACCCCAGCAGGAGCACTTTCACTGTAGATAAACATGCTGGTGTTCTGGTCATATAATAAGTCTTGTAATCCAGTGGATGCCAGTTTGCCTTTAAGAGATGCAGTTCCACTTTTTCTCTCTGTGATGGGCAATCAAGACTATCAGAACCTACAAAGCTGAAGGTCAAATTTTAGACATAGAAAATTCACACCATAGGGGTGCTTGGGTGGATCGGTTGGTTAGGCATCCAACTTCAGCTCAGTTCATGATCTCACACCTCGGGTTCGAGCCCCAAGCCAGGCTTGGTGCTGACAGCTGAGAGCCTGGAACCTGCTTAGCATTCTGTGTCTCCATTTCTCTCTTCTCCTCCTCCCACTCACTTTCTGTCTCTCTCTCTTTCTCAAAAACACTAAAAATTTTTTTAAAAATAAAATAAAATTCACAGTATAGAGTCCAGGGGCATGTTATCCATGTTCCATCCACTGGAAGCCAGCATCATGTATAGATTGTAGCATGGTCATTCCCTCTCTGCTTTCCATCATTAGGATTCTTGACCAGGCAGAAGTGATTTCCCCTCACTTTAATCTTGCCTGGTAGCCCATCTCTGTTCACACTTGCACCCAAAAAAGGAGCCAATTAAGGAGAGTAAGATTAACTCAGAGTCTTCTAGTCTCTATTAGAAACAGTTTCCTAAATAAGAACTTTAAAAAATGTCATCATTGAAGCTTTGGGAGAGAGATTCCAGCTCTATTCTGACATGGACTTGCATCAGAAAAATCTATATAAGAGCCAAAGATACACACAAAAATACAGTGTACTTTAGAGTAAACCTAGATGAATGTGTAAAACATTTATGAGAACTTTAAAATATGCCTGAATGACACAGAAGTAGATTTGAACACATAGAAAGATACACCTTGTTCTTGGATAGGCTGTGTTAACATCATAAAAGTGTCACTTCTGTCCAAGTAAATGTATAAAGATATGGTGATAAAAACACCACAGTGGGCTTTTCCCCTGAAGACTGACAAATTGATTCTAAAGTTCTTATGGGAAATAAACATACAAGAAATGGCCAGGAAAATCCTGATCAGTAACTACTGTGAAAAACTCATATGCCCTCTTCCCTGCTTGCATTCTTCCCTCAAAGAAGAATGAATGTCTTACGCCCCTAGGGAGAACAGCAAACTCTCCTTTCCCAGAGCATAGATAATGGCACATTGTTGGTAGGGAAAAGAAAAAGGGAGAAAATCCTCTAATCCTGCCAGAGTGGCAAGAAACAATCCTGAGCCCTGGATCCTCTATCAACAGTATGGTATTCCTCTCTGGGGGAGGGCTAGGATACTCTCTGAGAATGGCGTGATATAGATAAAATGTAAAGTTTGACTGACTGCCATGGGGAGGGAGGGCAGAAAACTACACCAAAGGCCCAGGCACACAGTATTTACCAAAGACTGAGGCTGGACCAGGACAACAGAGAACTCCCCCTTGTACTCAACTCCAGCCTAGCAAGGAATGATGAACAAGAAAGAGCAATCTCTCAGTGAGTTGAGGCATAGGGGTGCGGAAAGTAAGACCATGGAAAGAGATCTCCTTTGTGATACAGGTGGAAGGAGACCTAAAAACTGAAGTTAAAGCAAAATGTTGAGAAAAAGACTCTATCACTCCAATCTGTACCCTAAGCACAAGGCATCACTATTGGAAATTGAAGGCAAGAAAAACAACAGAATTCTCAAACCTATCTCAGATTCTAACTAAAGAGACTCCATTTTCTTACTTAACTGCCTGAGAGGAGGTATACCTATTTCCAGACATATATTCTATTTATTTTAGTCTCTTGTTATTCAGGAAAAAAATTATGAGGCACATAGAAAATCAAGGGAGGAACAACAAAAAAATATATATATATCCTCAAGAGTCAAAACAATCAATATAAGCAGACTCAGAGAAGACCTAGATTTTGGAATTTTGGAACTAACAGACTTTAAATAACTATGATGTATGTAAAAATATCTAGTGGAAAATATATACCACATGAACAAGAAGATGGTAAATTTCATCAAAGAGATGAAAACCAGAAAAAAAAAAGACTCAAGTAGAAATGTTATAAATAAATACATTGCAGAGGTAAATATGCATAAGAGATGAAGGATTCCATTGATGTGGCCATCAGTAGACATGACACAGCTGAGGAAACAGCCAGGGAAGTTGGAGATGCTTTAATAGAAGTTACCCAAAATGAAACCTAGGCTAGGATATTACAAGAAAAAAAAAACACTATCTTTCATAAACATATACACAAAATTCCTCACTAACGTATTAGTAAATCAAATTCAGCAATATACAAAAAAGATAAGACATCATGACCAAGTGGAGATCCATCATAAAAATTCAAGGCTGGTTTGAGGTTTCAAAATCAATTAATGTATTTCATGTTACCAACAAGCCTAAAAAAAGATAATCAGATCATCTCAATAGATGCAGGGAAGGCATTTGATAAATATATTTAATAGTTAAAATAGTTAAAAACTCCAAAAAAACCCTAGAAATTAAAGATAATTTTCCTAATCTGATAAAGAGCATTTATGAAAAATGTATAACTAACATATTTCATGGTGAAAGACTTAATGCTTTCACCTTAAGATAAGGAGTATACAGGCACCCAGTGGCTCAGTTGGTTAAGGGTCTGACTCTCAGTTTCAGCTCAGGTCATGGTCTGATGGTTTCACGAGTTCAAGCCCCACATCAGGCTCTGAGCAGTATGGAGATTGCTTAGGATTCTGTCTTGCTCCCTCTTTCTCTACCCACTCCCTGGCTCACTCTGTCTCTGTATCTCTCAAAAATAAATAAATAAACTTAAAAAAAATTTAAAGATAAGGAGAAAGGCTAGGATATACTCTCTCATGACTCTCCTCAACATCACACAAGAAGGCCTAGCCAGTCATATATGACAAGAAAAAGAAAGAACATATAGATTTAAAAGTAATAATAAAAGCCCACTCAAGTGCGCCCTGCGGAAACCTGTGGTTCCCTCACCCAACCTGATAGGTGCTGCCCTCCACGAACATGTCCAAGTCTCTGAAAAAGTTGGTGGAAGAGAGCCAGGAGAAGAACCAGCCGGAAGTGGTCATGAGTGACCGGGGCATCTCCAACATGCTGGATGTCAACGGCTTGTTCTCCTTATCCCACATCACCCAGCTGGTCCTCAGCCACAGCAAGCTAACAACTGTGCCGCCAAACATAGCAGAACTAAAGAATCTGGAAGTGCTGAACTTCTTTAATAACCAGATTGAGGAGCTGCCCACACAGATCAGCAGCCTTCAGCAACTCAAACACCTGAACCTGGGCATGAACAGACGGAACACGCTGCCTGGAGGATTTGGCTCTCTCCCAGCTCTTGAGGTCCTTGATTTGACTTACAACAACTTGAATGAAAATTCTCTTCTTGGAAACTTCTTCTACCTTACCACCCTGCACGCACTCTATCTAAGGGACAACGATTTTGAAATCCTGCCGCCAGATATGGAGAAGCTCACAAAGTTGCAGATACTCAGCCTTAGGGATAACGACCTGATCTCGCTGCCTAAAGAAATCGGGGAGCTTACTCAGCTTAAGGAACTCCACTTTCAGGGGAACCGCCTGACCGTTCTGCCCCCAGAACTAGGCAACTTGGATTTAACGGGTCAGAAACAAGTGTTCAAGGCAGAAAACAATCCCTGGGTTACCCCAATTGCTGATCAGTTCCAGCTTGGTGTGTCCCACGTGTTTGAATATATCCGTTCTGAGACGTACAAATACCTCTCCGGCAGACACATGCAGGCGAACCCAGAACCGCCGAAGGAAAATAATGACAAATTGAAAAAGATCAGAGGGAAACCTCTGACAGCCAAGAACAAATAAAGGGTTGGCGTGGGCTGGACTTCTCGTTACTCCTCTTCCTTATTATTACTTCTGTTTCGCGTTACTGTTTCCCACCAATAAATACAGTGGGTGTGTCACCTTTCCACTCCCCCTTTCTAGCAAAAAAAAAAAAAAAAAAAAAAAGTAATAATAAAAATATTTCCTTACATTGGTGACATAATTGTCTACACAGAAAAACCCAGACTACAAAATAAGTTACTGGAACCATCAGTGATTTAGAAATAGTAATGTTCAAAAATCATTTGTGTTACCCTATATAGCTTATTTTTAGAAATGGAAATTGCAGTTAAGAAAAGAGTGCTATTTACTATAGCACCAAAAATATGAAATTTTTAAGTATCTATCTAAGCAAAAAAGTGTGTAATATTTTTATTGAAAATAAATATACATTGATGAGAGAAATCAAAGAAGATATAAATAAATGGAGACTTATGGAATGGAAGACTTAATTTATGAAGATGTCAGTTCTCTTTCAAATTGGTATATAGATTCAAGCTATGCCCACAAAATTCAAAGTAGGGATTTTTTTAATAGAAATTTTAAAAATGAGTGTCAAAGAAATAAATAACCAGGAAATGTAGAGTACAAGCAGATATAAGGCACAAGTACAAAACTACTATAAGAAAATCTGGGAGGAAAGCTTTGCTACATTAAGTTAGGCAAAGTCTTATATAAGGCACACAAGCACAAATTGTTAAAAAATTGATTAATTGGACTTGATTAAAATTAAAATTTTTGTTCTCAAAGAAAACAGTTTAAAACATACAACTTAACACTTGGAGAAAATGTTTGCAAAAACACATAACCGTTATAGGACAAATACCCAAAACCTATAAATAATTCACAAAACTCAATAGTAAGAAACCAAACAATCCAAATTTAAATAGTGGGGAAAATACTTGAACAGATAGATTCTTTAGCAAAGAATGCATACAGTTGGCAAATAAAAATATTAGAAGATGCTTAATATCATTAGTCTTTTGAGAAATGCAAGGTAAAAGCCACAATGAGATACTACTGTATAACTATCATAGAGGCGAAAGAAAGAAAGCACAGAAAAAAGGAAGAAAGGAACATGGAAGGAAGGAAAGAAGGAGGGAGGAAGACAAATTTTGACAGTAATAAGTGTGGATAAGGATTAAGGATTTGTGGAACACCTAGATCTAGAACTGTAATTCATTTCTGGTAGGAATGCAAATTGATGCAGACACTTTGGAAAACAGTTTGGTAATCTCTTATAATGGTAAAAAACAACAACACTTAAAATAAAAAAAATCAGCAATTCTACTTCTAGTTATTTACCTAAGAGAAATGAACATCTATATCCATAAAAATGCTCACAGGGTTTTTATTCAAAATCAGTCCAAGTGTCCAAATGTTGAATACATTTTAAAATTTTGTGGTACATAAACACAAAGGACTACTACCCATCAATAAATCTGATTTGTACAACATGGATTAAACTACATTATACTAATACACTATATTAGGTGAAAGAAGCTAAACCAAAGATTCCATGATGTGTGATTCCTTTTACATATAACTTTGGAAAAGGCTAAATCCTAGGGACAGAAGACAGAGTAGTGCCTGCCAGGGGCTGGGTATTAAAGGAGGGAACTGAGCAGAAAGAACAAGGGAACTGATGGAAATGCCCTCTAGCTTACCTATAGTATGGCTACATGACTTAAACACTTGTTAAAACCTCATAGAACTCTACCAGGGCGAATTTTACTGTGCATAAAATAAATTTAGTATGTTTAGTGTTGGTAGTAAAATCGGTACTGTAATTATGAAACTACTTTATGCACAGTATAAGATAAAGCAAACAAATATATTAATATTATTAGGAACTCATATTTGAACTATAAAAGAAGTATTAATATAAAATTAAGGTAAGTAAAAATCTTATAATTCCATATTTTTATTTGGAATTAAGACAAACTCAAAATTTATACGCATTCTAGCATTGTCTACCTAAAGCAGCTGGAAATAACAACTTCCCCATAGGAATGAGTAGAGTTAATATTTAGCTATTGATTTCTAAATGATGATTTCTAAACATTCCACACTATAAGATACTATGGCTTGCTACAGTAATTGCAAATTCCAGATTTGGGGCAAGGAAAACACAGAGATGGTACAGTGTAAGCAAATAGCAAAGTGCTCAAATACTAATGGCACCATATAAAAGAAACACAGGAGCCTTCTTGGAGTAGCTTCCACTAACCAAATTGGGAACATTTGAGTGTCAAAAAGAACAAGGGTGACTATGAATCATAATACACTGAATTTTTTTTAAAAACGAGTCTATAATGATAGAGAAGGAGCAAGATTGAAATTTAAAAATCTATTCTTTGTAGTAAAATACCAGTTAATAAATAAGAAACGAATAATAGTATTGGGAAAGTTACCATTTTGCAATCCTCAAATAATAATTATAGTAGGCAAGAATCATTGATGGATCATGAAAATATAAGATGAGAAGTTGTTAAAAAACAGAAATTCACATATTCCAGTATTTCCCCATGAATTATTTATTAATCCCAGAGGAAGAAATGTACCTCATTCTAGAGAGACCAATCTGGTCACTACTTTAACCAAGTGACCAAATTTAGGATTACCAGTGTGAGACAATTGGACATCAACCACTTCTGGTTTAAAGCATTAAGAAATATACAAAACCAATGTAATATTCTTGCCAAAGAACCTGAAACTAACAATTAAAAATCAATCAGGCAAATCCATAATGTAGAAGATTCCATAAGAAGACAAGCCTGAGTTTTTCAGAAAAGTCATGGTCATGAGAACAGAACCAAACAAACAGAAATGTCAGAGACCTGTTCTGGATTAAAAGGGAATGAAAAGACAACCAGATGCAATGCATCAACCATGATTGAATCCTACATCAATCAGCCAATCAGTCAACCAATACAACAAAAGACATCTGGGAAATAATTGGAGAAATTTTAATATGGACTTCATATTAAATGACATCATTTAGGGGTATACATCCTTCTGCTTAGGAGAGATATGATACGGTCCATAGAGGTGAAGCGTCACAGTGTCTGCAGCTTACCTGCAAATAGTTCAGTAAGAGTCTCATGCTCTACCTACTGATGTAGCCGGATGAAAATAGTTCAGTAAAGATAAATAAGTAGATAAATAAGTAAGAGAAAAATGTGAATAACTGATAAATCTAAATGAGGTCTATGGATTTTTCTTATACTAGTCTTTTTTATGTAATTTGGAAATTCTAACAATAAAAAGCTTGGAGAAAAAATAAGTACCTTGATCAAAGCACCGGCCAGAGAGATGTATCTGTACTACACTGAACAATGCATTTTGTATTGTGGTTGGGAGGGAGGAGTTAGCTTCTGAGGCTGCTACCTGGGGAGGGCTCTGGTGCCACTGGGAAAACCCGAGGCACATATTTCTATGCCTAGTGTTCCACTGCCCAAAGCCAAGGTACAGATTACATTTTCCTCAATGGAGAATCTGGAAAACACATGCAATGCTAAACAGAAGTCTGCTTCCCACCAGTCTGAGAAAAGATATTAGACCAAAAGGTTATTAGTTTTAAATTTAACTAAACCACTGCCAAAAATGTATGGCTGCCTTCATATTCCTTGGGAATGGATGGAAAGCACAGGCTTCATTGGACACCTGCAGCAGGGATTCAGGGGATGAGACTGCTTTGGGAAGTCATTTTCATCCATTAGTTGGCTTAACTATTCATCATTACTCATTTTCCCCTAATCATTAGCATCACATCAATCAAATTTAGGTAGAAGAAAAGACAAAGACTTGGTATGAAATTTCATTGCTTTTAAAAAATCTGGTCAAGCATTTGTAAAACAATGGAGTTTTTCTTCCTTCTTTACTAGATGTTTTATAGAGGATTAGATGTTCCTCAAAGACTATTGTGGGGAGAGAGGGCTATGGCAGGACAGAGCAAGTTTTCCAATGAAACAAATGGAGAAAGTTCTCCAAGCCATGTGTATACTAAGGGCCCATCCCAATCAAAGGGACTCAATCCACTCCACTCCAATTAGAAGAGTAGCCTTTGAAAACTCAATTTTAATAAAATTCAAGCCAGGTCCTTGGTTGCTCAATTTTTAGCCAGGTGCCAAAAATCTGGCCAAATGTATGGAAGCAGATTCCTCTTCTATGAACCACCACAAGAACTTTGATGTTTCTGCCTAGCAGAAAGAATCTAGGTTGATTACCCGCTCTTCCAAAACACCATCCCTTTCTTAGTAGAGAGCATTCTTCCTGATTTATCCAGCTTGGAAGGACACCATGAACTTGGCATTCCAAACCTACTTATTAAAGATCCCTTCCCTTTTTTGGATCAATCTTAAAAATCAGACTGTCACACAACAAAGTAATTAACTTTGCAATTTTTTCCTGAAAAAAATCTATTTTTAAGATAACCCACATGTACTCTATATTTGTATTTTCAGTTCATTATTACTTTTTAAAAAGCAACAAAATTAAAACTCTATCCCTTTGATACTATCATTTGTTGTTTGAAAAGTGAGTTCGCTTTGTGTTTCCCAACCCACCTGAGATTTCTCCTGACAAACTCTTGCACAATGTACTTACAGCCTGTTAGTCTTAAGACTTCATTGTATAATGTAAAAATATAACTAACTGGATATTCCAATTAAAATTCATGTAAATACCTCAGTACATAACATTTTTTAACGAGTTACTACATATAGCACCTCATTCCTGTTAGCACTCTGTGCAAACATCTTGTCTTAATTCAACAGCTTGAATTTTCTTTAGACCTTGAGCACTCGATTAATTTCTGAATCTCAGCTGACACTGCCCTAAAAGGGTGAAAGAATTAATCACTCTGATGTCATTCCAGATGGACAAGCACAGGTTTTAAGATGCTGGTTTTGCATGTGGGATTGGAATTTAAGACATCCCATGTATAAAATTCTTACACAGCAATTGGGAAGTTCGTCATGGGCCTAGGCACTAGAAAAACATGTTTGTTTTCTGATACCTCTGCAATGTAAATTTAATTATTCCCTCATTAAGCATTATATTGAGTAGTTACACAGCACCCATCATCATCACTTGT